AAATATGAATGAAGGAATGAATGAAGAGAGGACGTAAAGGCGATATGCAAAGTCGATCGGTATATATCATGGGAAGTCGTAAACCGTGATAATAGACGCAAATAGGGCGCAAGGCAGAAGTCAGTGCTCGACATTTGCGATCGGCTTTGACTGGTGACATTGTTTCTCATCTGCATGCTAATTGCTCTGGATTCGCGCTAAGTAGAGGAAACTCGGACTAATCGTTACACTTACGTCGTTACAAGAGCTTAGTAATTTTTTATAAGTCCTGCCGGGTAACAATATCAATTTTATCGCATTAACAAGAAACACTTAGATCACCGTAAATAATTAAAGTGATATGATAGGGTCATTATAAACATACATAAAGTGAAAATATTTACATTAAAACCTTTCGCCGAACTGGATGCACCGAATTGTTGGAAACCTCAGCACGTGATTGCGGAGGCCCTAAGGAAGAAAGTCCTCGTGAAATTTCATTTTTAATAAAGAATTTTTTCATTCATCCCAGACTGAAACCAAGAATGCATACTTCTCTGAAAAATCAAATCTCATAAGCACCACGTCCTTAGGGACTTTCATGATCACGTGCTGGAGTTTCAAATGATTCGGCGCACCTAGTTTGGAGAAATGTTTTATAAAAATTTTAATGTTTTTTATATAATATATATTTATATAAAAAAAATCACCCTTTCATATCACATTAATGCCACCTAGAAGGTATTAAGAGGTATTCCTGAATTTAATGAGAATTTGTATCACTGCACAAGCTTTGTACGACGCAGGAGGCGTTTTCTGATTCAAGGAGCTCTCTGAGATAAGGAAGGCGAAAAGGCCGAAGAAGGATCGACCGTATCCGCGTCTTGACTAAAAACTAGGGAGCCTTCGAGTGACGACCGGTTCAATGGCCGTGAAAAACTGCCTTGGAAAGAGATCCTTCCTCCGGACAGGTATCTCGATCTCGTTGGACTTGTGCGTCACGTATGCGTACCTGCGTATCCGCGTACCTGTGCGTTACGTGGGGCACAAGTCTGAGTCAAGAGACGTTCCTCGTGGTGGCCGCGACACCGACAAGAGAAGCCTTCCCTATGCATTCCGCAATTGTTATCTGAAAACGGCGGCTCTTATCGGCGAGGAAAGTTCACGTCGATTTCGCGATTTCCGGGGTCAGTCTGCTCGAGGATTGCGATTCCGACGTTTTTGCGAACTCGGGGCCTCGTTTCACCGCCATTTAGAGCTCGACCTGTTCCCAGGACTCTTTGAAAGGTACGAAAGGAGATTACCTAACCTCACTATCACCCGAAGCCGAGAATACCCCCTGACTCCGGATGTACCCTTGTCAGGCCCGCTCTCCGCAGTGTTTAATTTTTTCCGCAATACCGTCCCCAGATTATCTATTCGCAAAAAATATCCCCATATACAGTAAGATTCTAGTGATGTCCATGATTTTTCGTCGGTGAGAATTCCTGACGGTTAGGGAAAAAAAAAAATTCCGAACGCGCGGTAGACGTTCTCCTGGGTGGGAAGATATTTCTATTTCTTTTTTTTTGCCTCCTTATCGGTACTGTTTTAAATTCGGTAAAAAATATGTAGGTAGAGCGAGGGTCCTGGGGGATATTCAGGATTTTTGTTAGCCGTGTATAGAGTTCGAATGGAGGGGGGGGGGGGGGAAATATAATCCCAGGGATGATCCGGGACTCGTCCTGGGTACGCGACTACATTCTGGCGCCGATCTCCGGGACTCGTAATTGCTCCTTCGCCACAAATAACCTTCCTTCTGATTCCTGACATCATTGCGAAAGGCTCAAGGTCGCATTTACTTCTCGGCGGGGTTTTTTTCTTTTTCCTGGCGATTTGCTTTTTCCTCTATACTACCGGATCGAGCTCTCGAGAACGCCGCGAGGTCTGCACGCGATCGCGGGCCCCAGGGATTCGGGCCGCGACTCCGGGCATCGGTACTTTTAGTGTCATTAATTGTCCTGACCCTACTCCCTCGTTTATTCCTCACTCTTATAGAGCTATTTGCCCGGCAAATTTATTCATCCATTGGCGCGGCAAATCGCGGCCGGCCGTTTCTCGCTAAACCGGCGAGCGGGCGTTCCGCGCTCCCGTTTCGCGCTCGCGAAAGTTAGAACCGCGATTCGATCGGCCGGCTCTAAAAGCGGGATAGTGGGACATACCGGGTATCGGCCATGTCTAAAAGTGCAACCGGGAGGTCGAAAAGGAAAAACCGCCCGGGTCTGGTGATCTACTCGCGCTAACTACGGCGACACTCTCTACCGAAGAGAGCGACCGGCGAAAGCGGAACCGACCTGGCGAGTTCCTTCCGTTTTGCCGATTTGACGTCGCCTTATCCGAGGACAAATAACTCGCCTACATCGATGAGAATTTCCCTTTTTCGTTTATTGAAAATCATTTCTCCCAATGGAGTTAACCCTCCTGCTAATAAAGGCGTCCGTTTGGTCCAATGTCGCTTGCACGTCTTCATGAATTTCGCCCATATGTCGGAAGGGTTAAAGGAACCGTAGCATGTAATCGAAGAAATACCCCGAGAAAAAAGATTAGTTCACTGAAACATATATATTGTTGCCTGAATCGTGTATTATTGCGAGGAACATTTTTTTTCTTTCTTTTGAGAAGAAAAATCTATGCGTTGATTAAAACGAACTTTGTCTGCGAATAAATATTTCTTTGCGTCTCAGTGTATAGGCTTCGCTCAGAAATGCCAAATGTTTAATTCCGATGCATTGTGTCGATCGTTTCATATCTTTAACTCCACTCGAGGAAATAATTTCCTTGAAAGAGAGGAAATTCTTGTTCCGGAATTATTTATCTCCTCGGTCCAATGAAAGGAAATATCTTTTCATATCTACGTAACCATTTCTATCGATATATCCAATAAATTCGTTGCAATTAAAGGACTTACAGTCTTACTGAAATTTGCAGGATATTATCCTTTCTTTGATTGAAAAGCAAATATTTTCGGTGATTATACGTTCTTTCCATTGAAACCCTATTTTTTTTTCGAATGTGCCTTATTCAAGATGATTCTCATTTAATCAAAGAAATACTTTTTATTCCGGTGTAATCACTAGTGTAGACGTAACGAGGAAGAAAGAAGCGTACTCGCGAGTCACTGTCGCATGTAATCGCTCTAAATCATTATCCAGACAAGTGAAAAAGTTCGCCCCGGGGAAAAAAGAGTCGGACGGGAACTCCTCTAATCGCTGTTAAGAACTCGTAGGCACTTCCTCGTTACCGCGCGCGCGCGTAATTGCACAAGTGCATATCCGCAGATCTGCATAACTACACGGGTGGAGGCGCGTAATGGACCGGCGGGACGAAATCTCGAGTTCGAGTTATATTACGGTGGTTTATTTTCAACGAGAGGTCCACTTTCACGTAAGCGGAAATCCCTGGCCAAAATTCGAGTCTCCTCGATGTGCCGGGAATTCCGGTACCTTTTGGGACATTTTACGAGGGAGAGAGATCTTGGGCGTCGGTTCTCATTTCGGCAGGAGAGGAAGGTCGTTACGTCGGGCCGAATTCTTAAAACGAATCCCGGTAATAGGCGGACTTTCTTACCACACCGCGCGATCGGCGGAGAAAGTAATTGCACAATACTCTCGGCATTACCTCGGCGACGGGGGTTTCAAGGTGTACCGAGGGAAGGGGCCGACACTTGCATCCTCTCTAAAACAGAAGAGACCAAGTGAGGAATGAATGCATGGAACAACACGAAAGAGTAAAATCTATCTCTCAATTTACGCGCCACTTTTTTTTTCTTTTTTTTTTTTTTCTTTTACTCCAGTCTCTTTTTACGCGGCGAATTGTAACGCAATTGTGCGCGGTTTTGATACGTCAAATGGAATTATCAAAATAGCCTTTTGCTGTATATTATTCGTACAAGATTTGCATTTACGCGTTTTGCGTGACAGACTACCCGATCATTAGGAGTCGATCCGTGCTATTGTTAAAGGTAATAAGGGAAGCGCAATGACGCGACCTGTAGGAGTTACCTGAAAGAGAGTCAGACACGAAGATGAGAGAAAAGGTTACTGGGACGGCAAAGACGAGCTAAGAAAAGGTGCGTTTGAGAATGCAAGTCGTCGGTGCAGTGTTGATCGACTTGGGCTAAAGTACCGCTCACGGTACAACCATCGATCGCGAATTGAGCAACCATTGGGTACATCCTTTCAACATGCGGATTTCACTTTTCCATTGATAAATCCTCTTCTCTATATAAACCAAACACCACGTCAATTTAAATAAAAAAACAAAAAGTGGAAATCAAAATTTAGGGGTTCGAACCCTCGCCCGAGAAATCGTAATACCGGGACGCTTTACGTAATTATCAACAGGGTGATCACGAGGCGCGTTGTGTATTTATAAAAATCTGGATTTCAATTACATCCCTCCTGGGAAAGAGATGGTTAAGGACATCCTCCAGCATCCTGTAGGAGTGCCGTTACAGACTCCTCTAATTACTTGCTAGAACGAACATTGGCAGGTTATCAGGGAAAATAAGGGAAATAAGGAAGCCTGTCGCGAAGGATGCCAGAGATGTCTCATGACACTTAGCATGCATAATCATCCTAGTAGACGACCCAAGTACTGGAGTAATTCCGTCTTCTGGGTGTAACGATGCGATTAATCGGGATTACCGATGGACATAACGAGTGTCCAGGTCTCGCAGCTGAGCCGATGATGGATCCCCAGGACACTGCCTGTGGAGGCTCAACGCGCTATTAAAAAGAATTCATACACTTCTATTACACAAAGTTATAGTACAATTACACATTTTATGTGTCTGTGTGCTAATGACGAATTAATATCCACTTATTAAAATACTCTAAATAAATGTAGGATTAAACTTACGGAATGAGGTGATAATACTGGTACTTACTATTTGGATACGCGTTATCGGATTGGTATTTCGGGTTTTAGGGGCACCTTGCGGAAAAATAAGTGTTATGAATTTTGTAATATTTGTTTGATAGTGTACCTCAGCACGCGATGCGTGACCGTCGGCGGTGGCTGGCCCCGACGTTGGTGTTCCTGGTGGTCGGGGTTCACCTGGTCCTATGCCAGAAGCCTCGTCTTGGAGGCGCCGTCAACGTCTTCAGCCGCTACGGGTACCTCAGCATCAGCATGCGCGTCGTCCCCAGGAACGACAGCGACACCTGGATCTTCCGGGAGCCGACCCTGAACGTCTTCCGCAACCCGGTGGCCGCGCCGGCGCGACAACAGCACGCCAAGGGCTCCGTCTTCGAGGGCGACTTCCACATGGAGTTCTGCGATAACGTGCGTCAGCTGATGCAGGTATGCTAAGGACGTTCCGATTCCCAAAAGATATCGATACCCTGGTGCCGATTCAATTGGAAATCAGCGAAAACGATTTCCTTCTTTGAGGGCTGATTCCCTTTGATTTCATATGATAAGGAACAATGCGATTTGATAACAGGTGATGTGCGGCCTTTAAATTGTGACAGTGTTTCGATGATTTCCAGGGATTTCTGCTTGCGATTTCCAGGTGATTTCCAGCAATTAAATCCATGATTTCCTTTTTTGTGAGCTGATTCCCTTTTATTTCATATGATAAGGAACAATGCGATTTGATAACAGGTGATGTGCGGCCTTTAAATTGCGACATTGTTTAGCTGATTTCCAGGGATTTCCGTTTGCGATTTCCAGCAATTAAATCCATGATTTCCTTTTTTGAGAGCTGATTCCCTTTTATTTCATATGATAAGAAATAATGCGATTTGATAACAGGTGATGTGCGGTCTTTAAATTGTGACAGTGTTTCGGTGATTTCCAACGATTTCCAATGATTTCAAACGTTAATAAACTACCAAACCAATGAAGTCAGTTATTTTCGCCTAATCGACGCATTGCGTATTACATGTAAGATGATATATACAGTGATTATGTATTAACGATCTTAGCAGTTCTTATGACTTTTTTTTATCTTTGCACCCAGGCCTACTTCAGGGACTTCTCGTTCGAGCGGATGGAGCGGCCCTGGAGGGCGTTCACCGGCAGCTGGACCAAAAACGCGATCTCCAGGCACCTCGGCATCAACACCTCCTTCATCACCGGGGAACACTGTTACGTCCTCGTCAGGGTGGCCAGGTTCCGGGAGAGTCGCAAGCTTGCCGCGACTGCCGAGGCCATGGTCGTCGACGAAGACGTCGCCAGGGAGGCAGCCAACATCACTCTCGGCGACACCGTCGGCGTCGTCAGGTTCATCAGGAACTTCGGCTCCCATTACATCGCCTCCTACGTCACGGGCAACTCCTTGTACCAGGTGAGGAGAAATCATTCACTGTACTCTAGAGCCACATAGACGAGCACTGAGCGATAACAATTCATTTAATCCAGAGAAATACTTGGTTAATTAAAATTAAAAAAAGTAATTTCACTTAAACTCTAATAAATTGTCACGACTAAGTGGCATATAAAGGGGTCGATCGTTCATGAAACTTTTCTCCAAAGTGGGTGTACCGAATAATGTCATACTTTACAATGTGAAGGTGGAGGCTACTAGGGAAGGTCCTGGCAATCATGAAATTTCATCTTTTATAAATCTTGTAAATGTTTATAGGGAAATTTGTAAGAAAATGAAATTTTATCGGGGTGAGAACCTTTCTTGCAGTCTCTATATTCCCGTTGCAAAGGACGGAGAGGATTTGGTACACTTGGTTCGATGAAAAAAAAGTTTCATGGGGCCATTTCGACATATGGGCGAAATTCCTCTGACCGGGCCGGCGATATTGGACCAAACGTCGGGCACCTCTAGGCGCCGTGTAGCCTGTACTCCTAGTTGCTATAGGGTTAAAGACTCGATTTGTTTCCTATCTAAATCTATCGGAGTTTTTCCACTCCATCGTCGGAGACGCGAATGGACCTTGGGACACGGGAACTCCTCGGCAACGAGGACGAAGTACTTTCGAAAGATGGACGTTATTATTGCGCAAGGCAAAAAATGATTACCGGCTTCCACTTAGTACAGGGGAGATCACGAAGAGGCGGTCGCAAACCTCCGTCTTCGACGACTCGTTCGAGGATGAGGCCGACGGCCTTAATAAGCTCCTGGTGAAAAAAACGATAGTTTTCCTGATTACACAACGACCGAGTTCGCGTCTAACTAATAACTCAGGCTATTCCGCCCCGCGTAATGCATTAACAATTTTAACATCTGGTATTGCGGTGATTTTACATCGAGCCGATAAAAATAAGGGACGCCGATTTCGTCGCGGACTATAAAGGCCTCGCTTCCGGGAAATGTGAAAACCTCCTTTTCTTTCAACGAGGAATGAAAAGAAGAAGAATCTGAAATCAGCCGAATAATATCTCTGTGCAAGAAAAACGAGGGGGTCTTGCTGTTTATGGAAATCATTTCTACGCCGATTACCGAAACTCCTGAACGATCCTTTCGTACTCGAAGTATTAAAGACTGACAATCTCGTGGTCGACAATCGATGCCTTGCTTCCGGCAGAAGTAAAAACTTCTTTCCCTTTAATCATTAAAAAAAAAAAACGAGCCAGACCTTTTAAAGTAACAAAAACAAGGAGTCGTTAACAGAGGAGTTACATTTACATCGATTCCCGAAACTAATGAACAAATCATTCTACCGATATTGACAAGGATCATCGAGGCTGAAGTGTACCGTGTAACAGTCGCGGTGCGAATCCGCGAATTGGGACGAATTAATCATTAAAAAAGAAAAATCATGAACAAATCATTCTACCGATATTGATAAGGATCATCGAGGCTGAAGAGTACCGTGTAAGAGTCGCGAAGCAAATCCGCGAATCTAGGCGAATTAATCGTAAAAAAAAATAAACGAGCCAAATATTTTAAAATAAAAAAAAACAAGGTGTCGTTGATAGCAGGAGTTACATTTACATCGACTCCCGAAACTAATGAACAAATCATTCTACCGATATTGATAAGGATCATCGAGACTAAAGTGTACCGTGTAACAGTCGCGGAGTGAATCCGCGAATCAGAGCGAGTTAATCATTAAAAAAAAGAAAAAAAAAATCATGAACAAATTATTCTACCGATACTGACAAGGATCATCGAGGCTGAAGTGTACCGTGTAACAGTCGCGGAGCGAATCCGTGAATCAGGGCGAGGTTCTTCTTTTTTTTTTATCTCTTTTTATTTCGTTTTATCTCGGCGGCGCGATAACAGCTCTCGCTCGGTAATCATTATTTACCCCGTCGCTGTAAATTATTTCCCCCGGACGTCCAGGTTCTCATAACTCGCTGTACCACTTGAAGAATAAATCAAATAATGTCGCCGAGGGAGTTAACCGGGGCAGCGGTTTACGGCGGTACCGGCCGCTCGTTTTAACGATCCTTTTCGGCAGTTAAGAACATTCGTTTGCCGGGCCGTGCCGAAGAGAGAGAGAGAGAGAAAGCACGTCGATCATACGTGATACGGGAGGGTAGAATCAAGCCGTACAGCGGAATTGCATCTATAAAATGAATTCGCACGGCCGTAAACCCCGCTATTGATGTGGCAACTCGACAAGGACGGCTCCTCGTCAATGGAACGGGGGACTTTTCACGGGCGATCGGGTTCGGTTTTTCAGCGATCTAAGGTGCTTCGCCGGCACTTTCAGTGAAAGTCGACTTTCTTGTGGGCGCGCCGCTCTGGCGGGACTTACGAAAAAAAAAAAAAAAAGGAAAAGAAAAAAGTAATTGGGGTCAGAGACCACGTTGACGTCGCTCGTGTCAATGCTTATCGATTGTACGAGCACACTGAACCGTGTGCATTCTCGGTCAAGGAAGTGTTGATCAGTCTCGATCGGTTTCGTAAATAAAACCTTCTCTAGGATCATTAATCCCTCGAACACGGAGTCATTTCGACGTATGGCCGAAATTCGTCTGACCGTGCAGGCAATATTGGACCAAACGTCGGGCGCTCTTAGTGGCCGAAGGGTTAAGGTTGAAACGATTCCCCATAATGGACCTCGGTTTCGTATATATGGTAAAGTCTATACATAAAGCTCATCTTTTGATGCCAAATGTTAAGTATAAGTAAGGAACCTTAGGATTCAGTTGAGGTTCCATGATCTAATCTTAACAACTAATATCTGATCTTCGTCTTCTTTCCAGGTCTTCGTATACACTCCACAGGTGTACCTCCGCATAAAGGAGCGGCTGAAGACCCGGGGAGTAGCGGGTCTGTCGAGTCTGGAGCTCAGCAACTACTTCTCGCCGTGGTACGCCGAGCACATGGGGATCGTCCTCTCGGCGAGCGGGAACCGCTCGGTGGAGGCCTGGGCCGTGGAGAAGCTGCAGGTCCGGTACTACATCTTCACCTACGCCAGTTTATTGAAGCTGCACGGGGATGCGCAACTCCTGCGCCAGCTGGACGGACTGCTGGGCAACGAGGCGCTGCTGCAGCTCCAGCTGCGCACCCTGGCGCCGCTCTTCAAGGACCCCAAGCGCCGGGAGTGGTTCCTAGAAGTGATAGACAATTACTTCAAGCTCTGGGAGGTCAACATGTGAGCTAGAGGACGAGGAAGTGCCTTCTTACCCCGAACTCGAGGAGCCGGCGAAGCTGCACCGGACTGCACCGAGAGGTGCGCTTCGGAAGCTTGGGGCGCACTCCGACAGGGGCGCCACTGGCGCTCTTCCAAATTGACGCGGGAACTTTTCCCTTTCCGAGGCTGACGTTTCAGGGATTTGTGTTAAGGGGATCCCAAATAAGACCAAGGGGATCCCTCGGGATGATGGCCGAGACCTGATCGGGTCGATTTTCGTCCCGCGCTCCTGAAAATGCTGCATTTTTCTTTTCCTTTCCCGCCGATCGGATTCGCGCGCTCGGGTCCACGTGGCGGCGTCTGCGCGCCGCACGCACACGCGTACACGCTGTTATTGTTATAAATAGGTATTTATTATATAATCGTTAATAGAAAACATTTTATACAAACTCTTTTAATATATCACAAGCATTATTCGTACATATCTTACCCCGACTCACGACTTTCGCGCGGCGAGCGCGAGTTGTATCGGGTGTCGTTTTCTTTCGCGCTCGAGAAACGCTTTCCCATGGATGGCAGGAATCCGCGAGTGTCCCCACGAATTCTGTTCCTTTCTAAATTTTATCCAGTCAAACCCTAGGCCTTTATGTCGCCAGGGATTTTGACTAATTAGTGAGAATTTTGGAATGTGAGACAGAGCTCGTGTCACGCAGATTCTTGCCGGGTGGTCGAATCAATTATCAATGATGTAATCCCTAATCGCGTTAAGGGAAGACGTGTATTATTGGCAGAAGTGCGCGAAAGACAGAGATTGATAATCATTTATCGTTTAGTCGACGTACGGATCTGTATTATCGCGTTAGGCGTTTTGATTACAGCTCTACTTCTGTTAAAGACGTGCCTTGCTCGTTACGGGCTTGAACTTCAGGTGGTACAAAAGATAACGTTACATCCTTGTCGTAAGAGATTCCAAGATGCTGAGTGCGTGAGTCGTTGTACTCCACTATTAATGATTTAATTGACATTTTATACTACTACCGTGCTGTCAGTGATAATTCAATTATGTAGTTATCGATTATTATACGTAATCCAACCGAGGAAACAAGTAACGGCTTTACGTCCTGTGACAAAATCAAAAGTCAATTGTGCCTTGTTGTGCTTCTTTCGAACATTAAAGGAATCACTGAGAACGTCGTATGAAAAATATGGAAATAATAATGTAGCTATATCAGCACCAATCGGGACTTAGCAATATGTCATGGATTAAAAACGGCTTTTGCGTATTGATTAACGCCACCATTAGTGAGCGGAACTTAATCCCAAAAGCGAAGAGAGATGGTTTATACGTTGTGGTTCGCAGTGTATGATCCCACTAACTTAACGCATCGTTAGTAACTTGGCATGGTAATTAAATTTGTTACTTCTTGTGATTATAGTGTCAATCGGATTTTTTAAAGCTGGACAGTTTGGCGCTGGCTTGCTGATCGCGGCCCAATTTCCTTCCATTCACGACCAATACTACCGGCGTTTCGACGCGAATGGACTTGAAATTAAATTCCTAGAAGATAACGAGATTAGTTCAGTTTTATATGCTGCTTTCAACGACGGAATTGGACCATCGGGAAAAGAAACTTACGTTGGCAGAATGGGAAAACATCTGATTAGTGATAAAGGGTTCTGGGATGGCTACGGAATCAGCTATCGTAACCCCTTTACCTTTTGCCAGATTGTAGACTGTGACAGCTACGCATGTCAAATCTTTATCAATCATACAAAATGCACTGCAATAGAAAACGTGAAACTTCAAACACGATAAGTCGCACAATATAAAGCAACACTTTACGGAACACTTACAAGGGCACACAGTCCGAGTCTTGTATCCAGCACACCACTTTGCCGAAAACAAGTTTTTCTAAATTGATTCCGTTTTTCAATTCCTTCAATGGAACTAAATCTAATTTGACAGTCTTATCAGCATATGTGTAAGAGCCTCCTTTATATGGGCCCAGGTGTTTTGCATCCAGTGACTAAAATAATTATAAAATGACGCAGTATTTAACGTGTGTTAGTGTTAACAGTGTTAACGTGTACAGTATTAACAGTGTGTACAGGATTTCACCAAGATTTCATTTAATCTCCATTACCTGGATTATCTGATGTAGTTTCTTCGGTTTAAGTCTTCCCTTACTATCTACCGAATTTTGTACGTCTTTAAGATACGTCAGAAGTTCATCTCGCTTATTCTGCGGTACTTCCCATGTTGGGTCTAGTGACATTGCCTGCTCGAATGACTCCAGAGCTAGCTTGTACTCTTCCTGATACTTCAACGCCTAATTTAAAGCGAAATGGCTACATGAATGTTTACCAATCTCGATTATGAATTTTTTAAAATTAGTTATTGCCATTACTTACCACTGCCTTATTGTAAAATAAGCCAGGGTTACTTCTCGCGACAATGTCCTTTTCCTACGGCAAGAAGAAAGCAGAAAGTATATTCTGTCAGGTTACAGTCGACATTAAAGATTATAAATAACATTTACTGCCTGAGCATACGCAGACATGCACAGCCTTAATGTGGCAGGATTCTGCATGATTGTGAAGAAGGATGATAAATAAGCGTTTCCTAGAATGGCCCAAGAAGTGCCATCCGATATATCGTAAGTCACTGCTTCCTTGGCATACTCCACACCTTGTTCTATGTTCCTTACTTGTTCTTCGTGTGTTTTAGTTTGTTCTTGCCTAAGTACCATAGAAAGATTGCGAAGCGACACCTTGTTTCTTTTCTGCTAGAAAGAGTAATTTGCGCTAAATTAAACATTTCTCTTAAGCAAAATTCAGTGAGAAGAGACATACATGAGGTAAGGCACCAATGAAACAATTTTTCGCTTGTTGAATGTCATCGTTCTTCCAGTAGCACTCCCCAAGTTCATTCCAAGCTTCCACTAGTCTTGGTTCTAATTTTACCGCTTTGCTAAGAAGTTCCTCGGCTTGCGGTACAAACCTGTCCACAACATTCAGGACTTTCCCTTTCAAATAATAATATCTTGCCCTCGCACCATCAATTTCATATCCTTTGCACTCGTCAAACTTTATTAACGTGTTCCTCATCTCCTTTTCGACGTCACTGCTCTTTTGGAGTGCATTATCAATCGAGTGGTTTTCAAAATAATGATCACGAAAGAAATATAGACTCTTAACACTCTCCTGAAATGTATGAAAATGAGGGACAAATTAGACAATGTAATTGTGTAAATTGTAAATTGATACAGACAATTGTAATTGTACCGTTAAGGCCACCATAGGATCCTCTTTCACAATGTTCGGATTCTGAGCTCCTGCAACTACTTTGTCGTCGATTATTGCCGACATTTTCGAAATTCCTTCATCTAAATTATCATGACGATATACTTTATATTATATTCTGAAACGACATAATTTATAGATTTATGCTATCTTAAATAATATTATTTTAGTGCTTTCAAGTACGAGATCAATGAAGTTAGGAAGTTTCCAGTTATAGGTTAAGTAACTGTCAACTACTATCAACCGCACTTGTCAACGACAAGAGCATAACAACTCGAAGCTTGTTCTAAAATTATTGTTACTAGTAATCATAGTTACCAATATTGTAGTATGTTTTTCGAAACACTAGCAGAGATGAGGCGTGGCGCCCTCTTTGACTTCACCCTTCACTTACCATATTTATTTTATCCGCAAATAGGGGGCAAAAAACGGTGAAAGCTAACGTACGAAACCAGAGGACAGCACAGGATGCGATCTCACGATCCTGCCCGTGAGCAATCTCCCAACTCATCTCTGCTCTGCTTTAACACTAGTAGACAGCGCTAATAGCGGATGAAATCCGAATTATAATGGACAAGTTTCCATTTTTTAGGTTAGAAACCAAACTGATTCTCACAGAGGTGAACATCTGTTTATATCTGAATTGATCACGTGAAGTGATGTTTGGTTAATTTAAATTTTAAGCTTCTGTATCATTTTTATTCAGAATTTCTCGAAAATTATGCCTGTATCAAATAATTATACACGCAATGGTAGGGCAGTAATGTCTTCAATGTCTGGAAAACTGTGTTCGGTTTTATTGTTGGAACACTTTGGGCAGATTGTTCAAACAGTGGGAAACGATTTGTTTGAACATGGAACGAAACCTTTGAGTTTTATACGTTCCACTACGGGTCTACCTTTATCAAAGGTATGTCTTATGTATTATTATTGTATTAACATTATCTTTAAAATGTTAAATTATCTTTGTTTTAGGTCAAAGAAGCTCTGTGTGTTCTGATAAAATATGGGATCGTTGAATTCGAGCAACTTGAAAAGTCAGTCAAATATTCTCTGGTCCCTGAAAACATTTTAATGATTCTGCGTTTTCCTAGGTGGGAAATGTAATTTAAATGTTACCTTCATTATCGATAAGATAATATTGTATATTGTTTATAAAAATTACAGGTTTATGTTCATGGCAAAGAAATTCTGTGGCAATGAAGCCGAAATGATGTTAGAAGAAGTACTGAAGCAGGGTTATGAAACTGGATCACAGATAATTATTAAAACGTATCAAAAACTGTTGCAGACTTCCTGTAGGTATTATCGCGTATTGTTAGTTTGAATATAAAATGGCTATTTTCAATATTTCTTCTGATATACTTTGCAGCGGAGCAACTGGTACAAATACCTCAGTTGATCGAAAAGTTTGAATTACTTGTTAAAAACCAATTCCTAATGCGTAGTGTGGGTGTAATAATTGATATGGAAGAGCCATCTGAGAAAACATATTTTAGTTTACCAGATTTTAATTTACCTGCTCTCCAAAAAATGGTGAATGGAAACGATGCTGATCCTGGTGACTCCAAAATATATTGGAAAGTAAATTTTGATAGATTTACTCAGGACCTAAGGTAAATCAAATTACGATTCATTAATAAATTTCATTCGGACGGATCATTACTGTGCAATGTTAATTGCAGAGATCAAGTTGTGATCTCAGCCATTACAAAAAGGCTAGACGAAGATGCTGGTGAATTGATGCGACAACTTTTGTACCTTATGTATCTGCGCACTGCGTCATGGGCAGACACGTCTAATCCTGTACCATGCAGTGAAATAAGAGAGGCAGTGAAGAAGTTAAATTACCCATTACTAACACAATACCTGGATCAATATCTTCGAGTCATCGGTATGAATTAATCTCATTGGTGAATCTGCGTAACGAGTGTGACATTGATTATGAAATCAATGTGGAATAAATACTTTGCGATAGAATTAATTATCTGAAAAAGATTCTACATTTCCAGAAGAAGATCCATGTCATTTTATAAGTCGTGTCGGTGACTCAGGCGGAGGACAGTACAGCGTCAATATGAAGGAAGCTTTCGAGCAATTAGCTTGGGCTACTTTAGAGAACATAGTCCTGGAAAGATTTGGATCGAAAGCTGCTAGAATATTTAGGTAGCCTACTTTGATCGTAAAATATTTATGTCCGCAGCCGTTAAGTTAATTGGATGATTAAAGTAGACCGATTACATGGTGCTTACGTTATGTGCAGATTAGTTAGAATGAAGACATATGTGGAGCAGGAACAAATACAACAATTGGCGATGATACCAGCAAAAGAGGCGAAACATCTAACTTATACGTTACTGCAAGAGAATTATCTCCAGATACAGGAATTGAAGAAAACGAGCGTATCTGCTGCGCCAACAAAGACGTTCTTCTTGTTCCACATCGATTTGAATCAGGTTGTGCGAATGGAAATCGATCACTGCTATCAAGCATTGTACAATTCTATACAAAGGCGAGAGCATGAATCCAATGTAAATAGAAGAATGATAGACAAGCAATTACGAATACAGACTCTAACCAGTAATCTGAAAGAACATGGAGCCACCGAAGAACAATTAAACGAGGTAAACTGAGTAACCTACCTTTCCTAGGCATCGTAGACACCATATTTCTCGTAATCATTTAATAAACACATTTCTAATCCGTCCAATTCACAGATCGCAGAAATGATGACGCCGTCAGAAAAGCAACAATTGGAAAAGGTACAAAACGTAATCAAGAGATTGCGCGGTTGCGAGTTGCAAATAGAGGAAACGTTATTTATATTGTTAATGCATTTAAAATACGCGAAATAAAACTTGAAAGTGAAAAAGAGAAAATAGGCCCTGTTAATATCGCATACGATTAATACAAATTGAGCCCCTACTCTTGTAAATATTATTTCCAAAGAGCAAAAGGAAATATTTAATAACAGACAGTCGACATAGATCGCCATAATTGGCGATGACATATTCAAGTCAACGCAGCATCGTTCATTTATATAGGTATATATTTATATATAATAATGATTACGCATGTAAAATACAAACAACAAAGAGTACCTAACNGTTTATAATAGTGTCGTTTTCTATGTGATACAGTGCATTTGATGTCACTATCCATGGTGGGAAAAGTCACACCTAGGACCGACCGACTTTAATCGACGTGTCGTCTGATATGAATAATTATGTATATATGTATATAACATTTATCAAGACGCTTCCCAACGACGACGGTCCCCGCCGTTGCGGCGCAATTGCGACTTCCGCTGCACACCGTCTACACGTGGCAACTAAACGGAAACTCTCCCAACGAAAATGTACAACACTTAATTTAACGCGTTCTCGGAGAGGAGAGGTAAGAACGCGAAATCATGTACAGCAGACCCTCTCTCTAGCGAAGTTCTAACGACAGTAACACATTCTTGTAGCAATAATCGCAACAACGGATCCCGGCAAAATCGTCGACGTTAATCAAGCACCATGGTTCGTCATCATCAAGGACGTTCCAGCCCCCGTTCAATTTTCCTGCTGAGTGGCTCGTTTTTTACCTCTCTCTCTTTCTCTTTTTTTTTCTTTCTTTTTCCTCTTTTCTTTACGCAGAGAGGTCCCACTGTAACTGGCTCCGACTCGGTAAGACGGCCAATACACGGAGGAGTAATCAAGAAACGGATCGACCCCCGTTAACGAAAAAGTTCTCCCGGAATATTCAGCGAAAGGATCAAGAGAGGTCCAGGCCGAAACTGGGTCGTTCTTTGTCTCCTGCATCGGTGAATCGCAACGGAGGATCGCATTTTTTAAGGAATCTCACCGAGAAGCCCAACAACGCGCTCATCCCTTCCTAGCGGTGACTTTTCCATTCCGAGTTCATTTATACCATTTAATTGCGTTCCCTCATTTAGCTACGTATGATGTTACGCTATATTAAGGCGATGTCAAAGTTACGTCGAAGTGGCCTCGTTAATGAAACTCTTCCCCAGAGAATATTTTCTTTTAAATTTGTTTATAGATTTAAGTTAAGACGCTTCAATTCCATGGGTGTCGGGACTTTCCTTATGGTCTCTGTAATCACTGTGTAATGTTTGAAACGATTCGGTACACCCACTTTGGAGAAAGGTTTCATGAACGACCGACCCCTCGACCACTTTCACGACCCCTTAAGAAACTCTGACCTAGTCATTATCTGCGATATTTAGCCTGGCTCGTCGTAACTAGACAACGAGTCTCGTATTCTGAACCCCTTTAATGAGTAATGTCAAGTTCATTTGTCACGTGGCAAGGCCCACGGAGAAAGTCAGCCTTGCGGTGCCGTGAAAGATAACCGAGATTTCGCCGACTGTGCAATTTAGCGCGGTTTGGATTCCTCCTTTTCTTCTTCTTCTTCCCCTTTTCGCCCCGTGTCTAACTATTAATTACTCGCAAACGCGTGTTTAACTAGATAATGTCAGGCCAGGGCCACGATTAGGGAATAATGTCGACGGCTCGCGGAATTGCGTATCTATTTACACGGTCGCCTCGGTACATATACAGGACGTTATCACCTAGCTAACTTGTCGCCTCTACGAAGCTAAACGTATGGATTTTCATTTAGGTGGAGCGCAATTACTTCCTTACACCTATACCTCGTTATCGTTCGTTTCCTTTTTTTTCTTTTTACCATTAACAACAACGTACACGTAAATGAATCGCGAGTGCTTGGAATATCGAGACTGGATGGTTAGTTTTCATTACGTAAGGTATTATCGTTAATATTATTAGTGTAATTTGATTTTATAATTTACTATTCCTACTTGTCCGAGAAGGATTCCGCCGCTCTAAGGGAAAGACAGAGAGAGACCGGAAGCTCGCAAGGGAGGGACCACCGGAAGTGTGGAAAAGAACCAGTCGCGACTTCGACAAAAGGGTCGATATAAACATCCCCGAAGGCGCGTTCGCCAGCGGCCCGAAAAATCCTTAATTAGCCAATCAATCTCGAGGCAGTAGGAGGATAATTAAATTGGAATCCACCGGGAGAAAGGAAACGATTATCCCGATTGCCAATCCCAGCCTGTGCAGGTAACCAACGACATAGGTAGTTACTTAATAATTAATTTATTAAACAATTCACCGGGGCGATCGCGCCATCGGGGCCATTTAAGGGAACATTGGCAAAAACGTTAACCGTCGTGGGAAAGATCATTTGCCAATGATAGAGAACCCTCCATCCAAGAAGCGGAGGAGAGCGATTTCCAAGATGTTCCTTCTCCTTTACTTTCCCTCTATCCTCCTACTACTCTCCCCCTTATTTTTTCACATTTCTTTTTTTCTCAAGTGGGACTATTAATTTCACTATCAGGAGATCCAGCGCGCCGGCAAGGAGGATCATTAAACAACGAGGAAGGAGACTTCAGGAAGACCGACCGAAGGATTCCGGGGGACGTGTAAAACGCGGATGAGAAATGCGAGTGACCTAGAGATGCGAAGATCCGATTGAGTATTAGATCGGCAGACGATCGTCTCAGCCTGCCGGAGTGGTCGCATAAACCGTATACCACTATTTAAGCCTAACTACTTAAATAACATAACAAATAGCAGCCGAGGTGTCGTTAGAGTAGCGAGTAACGGAAGAGACAGGGTTGACGATGGTAAATAGCGGTGTAATAGAGTAATTAGTAGTAGCGGCAATAGCGATAGTGGCAATAGTATCGTTTACAGTTAACGTTATCGGCCTATGCATATATATATATAAATTCAAATATATATATATATATGCAATTGAGTGTAATTACATACGCGACTATGTAGGTACATCACAATTAATATAGTTACACTGTACATTAATTATAATAATATATAATATGTATATATGTATATACGCGGTGCTACGGCCCGCCATTCGGCGGACGCGGCCCGATGCATTGTACAAATCCATTATATACATTAAATAAATATTATGTCAACATTAAGCTAGCCTAGACCGCGCTGCGCACGCGCCCGACGGTTCTGCCACTCTGTCTCTCTTTCGCACGCACTTTTTCTCTCTTTCGTTCGCCCTTGCCATTTTCTCCCTCCCGTTTCTTTATAAAATTATATTAGGTACCTTGTATCATAATTGCACTGATTCTAAATAACGAAGGGGCCGCGGAAATCAATGTAGACGTTTAATGTTAAGTCGGGCCCCGGGATTATGTCGAGCCGACGATTATACAGGCGATTATCGGAGCTAGAGGCTCCCCGGTTAGTCCTCTCGCCCTCGAAAGCGCTATTTGGCACATAAGTATTATATCACATCAAGCTCCTCCCTGCTGATTGCCCGATATCCTCGCGTTGCCCGACGACCGTCCCCGTCCTCCTCTTTACTGTGATTTACCCGTCTATATGCGTATATTATATAATTACGTACACTGAGAAATAAATACGAGAGAATTCATTTTACCGAAGAAGCAGTACCAAAGAGACTTCTCGTTAATCCGACGACTAATTATTAGAAGAACACTCACTGGAAGAAATTCAAGCTAATTGTCACAATCCCAAGGAAGCATCCAATTTATTGAGTCATATGACTATTCCTCGAATTTAGGATATATCTCTCCCTCTCTCTCTCGTCCGATGGATTTTGCCTTTCTCAGTGCAGCGCATTGTTCCATGGCGGTCCCGTTATATGCTTAATAATTATATAATAATGTCATATATCCCAGGATGGGAACATCGCCGTCGATCCGACCGTTTTTCCCGAGTCTCGACTCGGCGGCGCGAAAACGATGAAAAAGGTGTTTAATTGAAAACAAAACGACGGGGGAAAGAAGAAAAAAAGGAGAGAAAAAGAAAACAGATATTTATGGGGGGAGACGCGGAAATTAAGGGGACACGGTAACGCGGTGCTCCTGCTAAAACGATATAACGTTACGTAATCATTTCACCGTTAGTCTACGTATCGATTAATAAATAACACTAATTCGCTCGTCGTCCTTACGATGTATATTTTTTATATATATATATATATATATATATATGTAACAGCTTCGCTATAACTCGGCGCTCTTTCTCCCCTCCTCTTGCTCTCCGTTTTTCGCCGCTTTTTTTTCTTTTTCCTCCCCGCGGATGGTGGGCGTTCCTTTTTTACACTTTTCTCCCTTTTCCATAATGGCTCCCGACAGGAAATGCCGGGGCAGAAAGTGTCGCCAGGAAATTGTGTATCACTGGTTAGCGAGAATGTCAACGTTATCGACGGTTTACCGTGAATTCCTGCAAACGCTTTGCATTTCTCTCTCTCTCTCTCCCTAATTCCAAATTTACTCTCTCGGCTATCTTTATAGTTGCATATCCCGAATGCGATTTAAAGCGCGTTAATTAATACCCAATTTCAAGGAAACTCATGATTTCTCGTCGCGTGATATATCGTTCTTTTGGTCAAAGAATTTCATGGAGTCGCCATTATAAAAAGATAAAAAAAAAAAGAAAAAAAAAGGAAAAAACCGCCTGCACGAGTACAGACCCTCGACGCACAATTTTCCCTCCCCGTTTCCCAAAAGGCGTGATCCCGTTCATCCCTCCATTAATATTAGGGTCAATAAATTAACGATGAAAATACTATAAGTACTAAGTGTTTACGTTTAATATGGAGTCGTAAACCCCGGTCGAAGGGGAGAGTTATGCCCTCCTCTTGTTATCGCGAATTATGGCGATTCCCACAAATTGGCGCGGTTTCCGCAAATCCTCCCCCCACCTTCTTTCGTCGGGTCTCCGTGGGCCTGACGCGTAAGGCCCAAAATGCCGGGACCGACTCGCGCCCTTCGCCCGGGAAACTCGCCAATTGGGTCTGGAGTATCCGCGGCACGTAGACACACTAGAAGGAAATAGGAACAAGACCCGGCGTCCTGAAGAGCGGACCCCGTCGCCGTAAATAGGGCCCAAAGTGTCCGGCAAGCTTCGGAAACGGTCAGCAAGATGGGGGAGGAGAAGCGACCCCAGAGACGTTTCCCTCCTCCCTCGCCGCGGCGTGTCTTTTTAATCGTTTCCATAGTTCCCATCGTTTAGCGATTGACAATCTGCATCCCGTCCACACGTCCCGACCGGGCCCAAGGGCCCTACCGTCCTAGATGCGGCCCAAAAGACGCGGCCACGGGGGAAACTTTCCTAACGTGTCCCAGTCGGCGCGCGGGTACTGTCTCTCTCTTTCGGCAGTCTTACGGAAATTAGGTTTAAGATTTTACATACGTACGTCTCTCTCTCTCGTTGTGCGAGGTGGGCTTCTCCTTTGCCTTACACTTTCCTCCTACGACCCCCTACGCACCGCGGCTCGGTCTACGCGTCTCGGAGTGCACTGGGTCGCGTCCCTTGCAAAGGGACCCCCCACGAAGATTCGTTGATAAGCGCTCTTCGGGGCCGAGGTACCGACGCCAGTCGACTGGTCGATTTTGTCAAGGTCTCCAAAAGTCTGGCTCCGGTTCGACACAGGACCCAAGGTTACGAGACGTTACCTTCGGGACCACGGGAGGGGGCCCATTCGCGGCGAGGATTTGTGCGTAAATCGGCACTATGCGCGGATAGTGGGGACTCCTCGATGCGACGAACTGGTACTCCACATCGGGAGTCTTGTCTTGGAGCGGTAAGACCTCTTTGAGTCATGTTTATCCGCCGAGAAGACGAGATACATCGTTCTACACTATCGCCACGAGACTCGAGTAACGAACTACGCACAGCCTGTAGGGGCCTTTAAGGCCGCCAATTCGTACACACTCGTTGATGCGACAAACCGGCCTCACGCACAATGCGTGGTCCGTGCTTCTCGATTCGTGGTGCCCCACCTCAAGTACAAGTTTGTCGCATCGATGAATAGCACTAATTATACCAGATTGGACGACGAGCGTGTGACGGACGCGTCTAAGCGTCTCTCCTCGCGCGGTACAAGGATCTCTTCGAGTGCGACAAGTTCTCCACCGAGACGGCGAAACACCACCCACACCTGCAGCGATCAACCTACACGGTTAATTTACGAGCGAGGAATCGCGCACCAGTCGACCTATACGGACCATTTTCGGCCCACAAACCCCGAATCACGAGGCACGCATAGTCCGTATGGGCCTCACTCGGAGGATCTAGGACCCGTCCCAAGAACCCCGAAGAGGCCCCAAGTCGGGCCCCGGCCCTATATCACACGCGAGTTTCGATTGGTAGCATTTTGATTATTGTATCGGGCCCCGTTCCTCCCCGGGGCCAGGCGAGGCGTCCGCAGAGGCCCCTCGCCTCATAGCGAGAGCAGCGCGGTTGAGCAGGTGAGAAGTCGTGCACCCGGGGAACGGGTTGCTTGGGGGTCGTCCGCCCTAGTCCCCGGGGGGTGGCCCGGCGGGCCCCCGGGGGGTCCGTCCTCCCCCTGGCCGGGCGGGACCGGCGGTCGGCCGCAGGGCTAACTTTGGTTACCAGAATAATTCGTGGGCAAGTCTGGATGCTCCGGGCGGCCACAATGGGGTACCCGGAGCCGCGGTTCAATCCTCGTCGTGGTGGCGGGGACTCGTGTCGAACCCGCCCATGGACCCGGAGTTGTCCGGGGAGAAGGTGATCAGGTCCGGGGGCGAGAGGCTGTCCGGCGAGTAGTACGGCATGGCCGAGAAGGACGGATGGTCCTGGCTGGGTCCGGCGCCGTTCAGCATGCTCGCCGGCGGCGACACCGACGGCCTCGCCGAGGGGCCCGCTCCCCCCGGGTGCTGCGACATGTCCGCCCCCACCGGCGACAGGAACCCCATCTCCGGACCCCCTTCTCGGCCCCATAGCTGCCGCAACTCCTGGCGGCGCTGCCTCATCAGCGACTTGTACTCGGAGATCCGCATCTTCTTCCCGTCCACGATGCAGGTGCGCTTCGGCCGCGGCCTGTACCTGTAGTCCGGGTGCTTCTCCATGTGCAGCTTCGACAGCCGAGACTGCTCCTCGTAGTAGGGCTGCTTCTCCGCGTTCGTCATCCCCTTCCAGCGCGCACCTGCGACAAGGTCCTCGTTTAGACGTTGGATTATGAAACATTAGCCATACTTTGAATCTACCTAACCTAACATTGAAATTTTTTAAATATCTGTAAGCAAATTAAAAAAAAAAAATGAAATTTCACGGTGTCTGGACCTTCCTTGTCGCCTCTATATTTGCATTGTAAAGTCGGAAGGCATTTCGGCGTGCCCAGTTCAGAGGAAAGTTTCATAAATTAGACCTCTGTGAGGGCACTTTCAAATCACCTTAAGGGTTACAATTACAGCTCTGGGATTAAAGTTTGGATCTGAAGGTTATCAGGGAACCTAGGACCTTGGCTTACCGAGTATCTTCGATATGTTCGAGTTGTGCATGTCCGGGCAGGCCTTCAGGATCTTCCTCCGCTCGTCCTTGGCCCACACCATGAAAGCGTTCATCGGCCGCTTGATATGTGGCTTGTTCTCGCCGTCTCGCTTCTGTTGCCGCACCATTTTCGCTGCGAAATGAAGGTAGAACCCTTTAAAGGAGCGCGTTGCATCGATCACCCTGGGACGCCCCTCGGTTGGGTTCTTCGAAAGGGTTCTGTTAAACCTAGGAGCTTACCTTTCTCCGTGATGTCCTCCGGGATCTTGTACCCCGAGTCCCTCCACACTGTAACGAGCATCCGGATACGTTAGTATTCGACATCCGACATTTAATTATAATGGCGAGAGATTTGTTACTAAAGGTAAATCTTGACCTAGACCACTTTAACCCTCTGGCTACTAAGAGCGCCTAAAGGCGCCCGACGTTAGGTCCAATATTGCCTGCACGGTCAGAGGAATTTCGCCCATATGTCGAAATGGCTCCGTGATCAAAGGGTTAAGTGGGTAGAAAGTGACTACTTTCCTCCCTCAGGAGCTAAACTGTGTGACTTGGCACGTAATAGGGAACTTTCGCCACGTTCGACGGGCACTGAAAGTCGGACTTTCGGGGGAGGGAGGATGATAACGTCATGTCGAGAGAAGGAGATAGGAAAATCCGACATACTGTGCTGCGTCGACATAAAGTCCTGTTCCTCCTGCTGGGGCTCATCCCGGGATCCGGAGTGCTTTATGGACCTCTGGGTCTGCGGGGAGGGTGGCATCGCCCCGGCCGTCGGGGGTAGCCCGTAGATCCCGTGCATGACGAAGTGCTTCTCCACAGCTGCAACTGCAGCCGCAGCTGCGGATCCCCCGGGCCCGCCCTCCTCCTTGGCCATCGCTTTGCTCACTGCACAAATTGAGTTTTCGAACCTTCAAACACCTCGTATAATAACGCCTAACCCGCCCACCTTCTACCCTCCGACATACCACTCATACATTTTGGGGACACTTGACAAAACTCCTAAATTTCATACAAAACGTAACAACGAAAGGAGTTATCCTTGCGCCAGTCACGTAGAGCCGTAATCAACTAGTGCATAATCACTACCCTGATAGGAAACTCCACTTTCCAAGGGATATTAATTATTAACTGCTTGCGACAATCTAAATGCCTCCTGCCAAAGAGATGTCCAGTCTCCAGAAAAATTGATCTTCTACGGATTATTATTAAAATGATATGACAGTTTGATATCAAGTGGAAATGACTTCGCGTTACTCGTTACTTGAGATAATAGATTATTAATGGGGAATAAATATGTAGTTTCGAGTATAGCTCATCTACGTATACCAACTCTTCTATATATGTTTCATCTTCGTATAATTGCTGTAAGATTTTTTTTTTTTTCCAGTAAACGTAAAATTCTAGGTCTTAAACTCACTCGGCGAAGAGAGGGTGGTGAGGTGTGGCGGAAGTCCCGCGTAGGGCAGACTCGGCAGGTAATTCCGCGCGAGGGGTAGTCCCGGAGGGAAGAGCTTCGGCGCGGTCGCCGCTAAGGGTTGTTCCTGGTGGCCGCTGCTCCCCGCCCCCGTCGAGTGCGAGTCGCTCCCGGGCGAGGAGGAGGTCGGCGCCCCCGAGGACGAGGACTTGGGCTTGGTCAGGTTGAGCGGCGCGTCCGGGTCCGGGAGCGGCGCCGCGGCGGGCGCCACTGCCGACGACGCCGGCGTCGGCGAGGACTCCTTCTCCATCTGCGTGCTCATCTGCGCTAGGTGGGCCGTTGCCCAGCTCGGACCTTCCTGATGGCCGCTCATCATCTGTGATGAAACGTAAAATAGACGTAAAAAGGACATTTATTAGCATCTATAATTAGCATCTCGCACGGACATTCTAGGGATGAAATAGTGTAAAGAGAGATAGCATCTTGTATTCCCCGGTCCCATTTTGGGGGTCCAAAATGGCGTTATCACCGAAAAGGGTACAGATGAATTTCACTTTGCATATCATGACACTTTCATAAAACCTTAAGGCGATGTGAAAGTGGCGTCGATGAGATTTCCTTCATAAAATCATTTCTCCAAATCAGGTGTACCGAATCGCTCCAAACTTTACAACGTGGATGTGGAGGCTATAAGGAAGGTCGTGAAATATCAATTTTTGGGTGAATTTAAGTTTATAAGTATCTTTTAAAATTCTCCATGAAAAAATGAAATTTCACGAGTGTCCAGGACCTTCCTTGCAGCCCGTTCGAAATGCTTCGATTCGATTAAGGTTGGAGAGAACTCTGACGAGACTTCTTCGACGCTACTTTCATATCTTAAGGTGGGTTTCATCCCGAAGACTATCCTCGGTCGCCCTGAACTCACATTGACGATGGAGTTGATGTGCTTGTTGCCAGTGGTCGCCGTCGACGTGGGTGGGGGCATCTGCGCCGGAACCGGAAGGCCCCTAAGTTGTTCCAGGAACGGGAGGAACATCAGGGACTGAGGCCTCGGCCCGCAGGACTTCCCCTTCGAGATCTGAGCTTGCAGTTCCTGGATGTTGTGCTGCATGATGTGCTCCTGCTGCCGCTTCAGGTGTTCCGTCTGCAGCAGCTGCATGTCGATCTGCTTCTGCAGGTCGGCGGTCAAGTGACCAGGGTAGGTCTGCAATTTGAAAATCAAGATCCACAATGAATAATCCATTCCGAATCCTCGCATACACCAATTGCCAAAAAGGGTATCGCCATTAGATAAGAAAAAGAAATCGTCAAAGAACAAACCGTAAGTATAGTTTGGAAGAAGATAAGCATCCACCCATCTGTGTATCCATAGAAGACTTTATTCCTATTATACCCGGATCAGATAACGTATCCATTAAAAAAAAAAAAAAAAACAATGAACCTTGAGGATCCAGAATGAAATCGGCTGAAGGTAAATAATTGTGAACGGATGAATTGCGAGGGTAAAGAAAAACCCACACTCAATGAAGGAAAAATGGCCTTGGTAGGTCACTCATCGGTTTACCTGTCCGCGAATCAAAGTGCCAATTAAAAAATGAGGAGGGGTAAAGGCGCAATACCAAAATGGGTGACGGTCAAGGGGGCAAGTAAAATGGCCTCTGCCCGTAAAACGCTCATCCACGTACCCAGGGATCAGTCAATGTCCCCATTAAAAAAGGTGCAGCTCGTAATTTCCCGGGCGCGCTCGGGGCGCCCTCCTTCGGGTCGCGCAACAATTTAAAGCCTAGGCCGCGTCATTGTGCGGCCGCGGGGCCCCTTTACGGCCCTGGCTCCGATCCAGATGTGCATCAAGTTTAAAGTCTATTTTAAACGATAAGGAAGACGTTTATTCATCCAGCCAGCGCACCAGCTGAGACGTCACCGTATGTACGATATTAGACGCGCGCGCCCAGCATCGCCGGGCGGGCGCGACCGGCCTGGCGGGTTCGGGAGCGCGTCGCCAGGCGGCGCCCCAGTCGGAGCGGCCGCTCGCGAGAATGAACGAAAGCCTGCCCGCTCGCGCGCGAGTACTATCTTTACCCGAAGACGACCTGAATGAAAGTTACATAAGAGCCTCGGCTCGCGTCGTTTCTCTCTCCCATGCCCACCCCCTCCGCCGAATTCCCCCCGGATCCAGTAATCAAGAAGCGAGATAACGAAAGAACGCAAAAACCAGAAATCAGCCTCGACTACGGTCACCCAACACCCCAGCGAAGACGTCCGACCCAAGTAGGCCTGTAGTGGCTACTCAGGGGGGATTCCGTGAGTGGGAGAGAGAGGGAAGTATAGGGGCTAGCGCGGGGCAGAGAGAGAGAGCGATACCACCATCCCGAATCCGGCCGAGCCTCGATTCGCCGGATCAATTATCTCGGTACGCGGATTCCGCGCGGCGCCCGCTCCGGGAAAGCGGGCGGAAATCCGGGGGGAAGGGAGCAATGGCTAGCGAAACTTCATTATTCATTCGCGGCCCTCGGTTATGCCGATGATACGTATCCGTGACAGCTATACCGCCCACAGGGGCTAAATATAAACAGGCGGGATGCCAGCGGGTCCCATTCACACTCACACACGGGCCCGCGGCGGTCCACTAAGTGAGCGTAAGAATATGAGGAGGCCGTTCTGAATATGCATCCGCGCATTGACGCCAACTGCGCCGCCTAAACTTAGCCCTGCAATTACCGAAACGCACCTACCCGCCCCACCCACCCCCCAGTCCTCCCCACCATACCCCTGGTAATCGCGGCCGGCCCCGCGTATCTCTTTCACCGTCTTCGCGGACTTTCTCCCTGGCCTCGTGCGAGGCGTTCCGAGGGCCTCCTGGGTGCACCCGGTACCCTAATACACTAATTCCGACTTTTACTCCTTTAAGGGATTTCGTTAGGATTCGAGCTGCACAACGAGACGAGACAAATTTGTAATAAATAAAACATTGAAATTTCCCTCATGTCAGGAAATCCCTTACAGCCTCTATATTAACGCTGTAACTTTTCAAACTATTAGGTGTACCAAGTGCGGAGAGAAGTACCATAGACCTCCTTACCGGCTCTTTCCCATCGGCTTAATACCCTGGAACGACGATGACGTCGGATTTCTCGGCGGTTTGCAGTCTCGCCAATTTCCCTGGATTTTTAGGATTTTTGGACCCGACCTCAATGAACGGTTTCGGAAGCTTCGACCCGTGGATTATGTCCGAGACGACAGGCCGCCAGGTCGAGGGCCCCGGAAAGGGTCCGCGCCTTAACCGCATTAGCGTCGTCGCGGCGACGCCTCCACCGGGGAGAACCGATGGCAGCTCGATGGCGGCCCCTCTTAAGGGCTCAGGACTCGTATCCGAGGAATAAGCCTTCGACCGCGAGCCAACTGTCAGCGGGATTATTGTCCCGGGCTTCTGATCTCCGTGGCTCGGGCCGGGAGTGCCTGCGCCGCCCCCAGGGGACCGGGGGACGTCGAGCCCCGGGACGCGTCACCTCGGCGGAAACGCGAATTTCTTCCCTTTCCTTCCCCTCCCGGTACCTCAAACGAGATTCCTGTCCTCCTCTCGACTCCTCCCGCTCAGGCCCTTGTCGCGGTCCATCGGGACCGGAAGTATATATACCGTGGGAAATGCCTAAATTCGAATTCCATTAAGGTGGAATCTCCCTACTGACAAGTCTTGTCAATTCCTCCCCGTCAAAGTGTTACAAAAGGATCATTCTGTATACATATATCTCATAACGTAAAAATATTTATCAAGATGAAAAGAAAAAAAAAAGAAAATTAGGAATTATCCCACCGAGTCGATCCACCCCAGTAGACGTCAGGGCCGCCCTGGGCTCGCCCCCCCGCGAAGATTCATTCTCGGTAATTTGCTTACAATTAAAATAACGCGAGAGAACCGACCCCATCGGGGGTCGGCTGCTAGAAAGTGATTAATCCTTAACAAGCCGAGGTTTGCCGAGGTACTCGAGCGACCACGCGACCGCCTCCCGGGCACTCGGGTGGTATCTGCGTCTCCGTCCCTCCGGCACCACCCGGCATAAGCGCGAGAAGGACAGCACGAGTGCTCGGCTCCCGGCCGAGAGGGCGCCGGGCCGGAGGTGGAAAACACTACAATGCGTAATGCCTACGCGACCTAACTACCTTCTACCCCTCCCCCAGGGAGGGTCACAATAACCCTACCACCTCGGATCCACCGACTTTAATTAATTTTCTATGTGTGGGCGGCCGCTCGCGAGAATAAAGTCATAGCGGTGGACTACTCTTCCCAGTGGGGGGGGGGCCTTCTCTCGCGCCCTCTCGCCGATGGGGTAGGAGTCTCTCCGGGAGAGAGGGAGAGGCGACCACGTGGCGCGGTAAAGAGTAAGAGAGAGAAAGAGGAGAGCGCGAGGAGACCTGCTCAATAGACCTGGACGGGGATCCACTCGAGGCGCGAATAATGCGGCGATGCACGTGGCTCGCCCCCTCCCCCTTCCCTCCCCCGCTCCCACCCTTACGTACCCCCTCTTCAACCCCCCTCGAGGCCCGGAATACTTCTTCCGAGCCGGCGAGTGCATTCTCGGGTTTGCGCGCCGCCGCGCTCTCGCGCCCGCTCGTTAACGTGGACGCGCGTGCACGCGCGTAACCCAAGCCGATAGCCGGGGCGAAGCGCGTGCGGTATTTATTGCGAGGCCCGAAAGGCACGAGATAAAATGAGAGTCGGCTCGCGGGGGCGTTGCATAGGGGATAGAGGGAGAGGTTCAAACTAATTGCGCCGCCTCGATTGATTGACATGGATTAGGCGAGTTAGGAGAATCGGAGAGATGGGAGGAAATGCTCTTATCAGCCTTCGAGGACACTTTTAAGGCCGAGCCGATTTTCTTCTTTCTCTCGTAGTCCTTTCCAATGATTTTAAATACCTAGACATTAATTATATCAAAATGGATTTCAAATGGATATTATTTAACATTGAACATAAGATGCACGTACTCGGCAAATGCAATTGGTTTCATTACTTTCGCTCGGTTAATCATTAATTTATCGTCAGACTGGTTTTTGTAGAATGTACCTCTCCGAGACAATGTACCTTGTGCGTGTTTCTTTTTTACACCTAAGGTGTTCTTTCCGAGATATATGACGTAGTTCATGTACAATATACCACAGGGTATCTCTGTCCCTCCTATGGTTTCCTCCTCGTTTACCAGGACACGATGCTCCGCCGCCCAATCAGGCCGCCATCCGGGGCCCACTTCGTATTCCGGTCGCGCCGGTGGGTGCCGGTCACGTACCGGGGGGGGCCCGCTAATTCGGCGACCGTGTCGCTTTCACGGCCGGTAAGCGACTGGCCGCGCTAACCCCGGCGGCGCCCATTTATATGCGGGCGCGGAAGGGGCCCGGTGACCGCGCCGTCTCGCGGGAAAACTCGGAAGGAAAAGATAAGACCGACTTTTTAAACAGCGGGGCACTGTGTGTCGGTCACGCGGCACCGATTAATCTACCGAAATAATCGCGATAAACTCTACGGCCAGGTATACCTCGATTAAGAGCTAAACCTCGAACGGAAACGGATAATTGGGATTAATTAATCGAGCGCTCTGGTCGTTGACCATTAATTGGCCGTAATCGCGCACTCGGTGCGCCGATTCGAAGTGTATCGGCCGACTCGCGGATTCCGCTCGGCTCCGGAATTGATAATTAAATTTCTCGCGAGGAGTACGGCGCCGATTACTTCCTCCCCCTCACCCATCACCCCCCCGGGGGGAGGGGGAAATCGTAATTATAATTGGGAGTGCACGTGCAATTTAGCCCGCGTTATTATTTTCGTCGCGCCTCGGACGACGCTAACGATCGCAGAAACAATGAGGCACAATGTTAATGAGAAATGTAATTATACGCGAGGATCTCTCCCGCGCGTCGCGCGCTCTCTCTCGCACTAACGGCAGGTAGCGTATATCCGTCCCGGTCGCGCGCTCCGCGCTGCCAGAAAATCGCCAGACCACCCCGGAAGGGGCTCGTAATGCGAGTACAGAGCACCGAGTACCCGAGTACCGAGTGGTCCAGACTCGCGCCGTGGCTGCTGCCGCCTCGACCCTTCACCCTTAAGCTCTTAACCCTCGGGTGGAGGCGCAATCGCCGAGCAAGACGGCGACCTCCGACCTTCGAAGGATACTTTCTACCGCCCGCCGAAAAAAGAAAAGAAAAAAAAGAAAC